AACATAACCCGCATCTGCCCATGGGCGTCCGCAGGAATTTTTCCAGGGGGGGGCATAATTGTATTCCTGACACTATAGTGTTCCCTTAAGCAAATTAAGGGACATTTCTGGTCACCATAACAACTTCACCTAAATGAAAATGCTATGATGCCAGGAAGCCCCTGGGTGCTCGCTTTCCTTTAAGGGGTTAAATCGCTCTCAAATTGTTTAACCCCAAAGGCTTCCTCCAGGTCGCTCAGTGGTATTTGGCTTCTGAAACAGAGTGTCAGGAAGTGCAGATTGACGTCAGGCATGGGTGCCGCTGATTGGCTAGAGTGGACAGTTGACGCTCTAAGCCAATCGCTAGTTCCCGATTCATAAAATATTTTTACTTTTTTATGAATGGGGAGCTACTGATTGGCTTAGAGTGCCAGCTGACCGCTCTAGCCAATCAGCAACACCCCTACCCAGCGGCACTCTGTGCTTCCTGACACTCAGTAAATAAAAGTGAACACATTAACACCGATATTTTTTTACCTTTGGAGATGAGAAGGTCCAGCGTTTCCCTGCCAGGCCCAGGTACCAAAGCCTTATGATGTGGTGTCCAGAATAAAGAGGAGGGTTCACTTCATTTGTCCTTCCTGCTCCAATCTCCTTTTCCTCTCCTTCAATTGACAGTCTTTTTTTTTTTTTTTCTTCTGACACTGTTTTCTATCCTTGGCCCCTTCTGCTCTTTTACCTTTCTGCTACTTTCTGCTTATTTTGCGCCCTTCTGCTCCTCTCATTCTGATCCCTTTCTGCTCCTTGCAGACCCTTTCTGCTCCCTTTTCTACTTTACCTTTGTGCTCCTTGCTGTCCCTTTCTGCTCTTTCTCCTACTTTACCTTTGTGCTCCTTCTGATTCTTTCTGCTCCTTTACCTTTGTGCTCCTTCCTGCTCCTTGCAGGCCCTTCCTGCTCATTCTCCTATTTTATGTTTGTGCTCCTTCTGCCCCTTCCAGCTAATTTCTGACCCTTTCTGCTCCTTTTACTTTACCTTTGTGCTGCTTTACCTTCAAGCTCCTTGCTGACCCTTCCTGTTCATTTCTATATATCTATAGGCTGCTGCCCCCCCAAATCTATAGGCTGCTGCCCCCCCAAAAATCTATGGGCTGCTGCCACCCTCCCCAAATCTATGGGCTGCTGCCCCCAAATCTAAAGGTTGCTGCCCCCCCCAAATCTATGGGCTGCTGCCCCCAAATCTAAAGGGTGCTGCCCCCCTCCCCAAATCTATGGGCTGCTGCCCCCAAATCTATGGGCTGCTGCCCCCTCCCCAAATCTATGGGCTGCTGCCCCCCTCCCCAAATCTATGGACTGCTGCCCCGGGGGGGGGCAGCAGTCCATAGATTTGGGGAGGGGGGCAGCAGCCCATAGATTTGGGGAGGGGGGCAGCAGCCCATAAATCTATGGGCTGCTGCCCCCCCTCCCAA